AGAGCCTCCATGAAAAAGCGGAAGGATTTAGCCACACTTTCTTTCCAGTCAATGATACAATGTTAGCTGTTATTTAGGCGGCCACTGCGACTATTCGACAACATGCCGATGCTCTTGTTAACAAGGATGTCGAACTTTCTCAGGTCCCAGGATTCAGAGAAATACAGCCGAAAGATCTGCGTCGTAAAAAGAAGAGAGGTTAAAACAACAAAGCACGAACTAACTACGTTTACACAAAAATTCTACTTTGCCCCGTAATGGGTTGGGCCTGTTAAAAATAAAATTTTTAAACCGATCTGTGAATGAAATAGCACGAAGCGTCATAGATGCTACGATTCCAGCAGAAAATGTGAAGTTTAACATTACAGCGTATGATCTGATATCTTTACCCCATATATGTTGCTTTACTTGTGAGTCAATTTTGACTTGATGGTTTCACCCGCTTGTTGAAAAGATAATAAGGAAGAGAAAATGGTTGCGTGCCTGGTAAATGAAGCTTATCTATAGCTGGGCACGTTTCTCGGTAAATGAAACACTTTGAATTGCGATAAAACTTTGATTTCGGCACAAATGGAGGAAATAGCCGTGTATTTGAGACTATTCGGAGTTCCAACAATGCTTACGCGGAGTGCTACAACGCCTCAAACCAGTCATATAAGCACATTACTTCAAAATGACTTCAGGTTAATAAGTTACTTCTGACGACACAAGAAAGAAAAATTGGAAGCTCAATGTGCCGTAGACTCAAGGCTCACAAGGACATGTGTGTATTTGTTTATCAGTTCCTTCTCTTCCACAATGCCCGCAAAATTCACTGACCTTTACGATCATGCAAAACCTGCGTGATCTATTGAGTCGTTACTGCCTCTATTCCGGCGTTTTTCCGCCTTAGGCACCATCATGGTAACCTTGTTCAACTTCGATTTGCAATATGGAACGAACCAACTGCTCTTCACTACCGCAGGTTTATGAGGAACTTACAATGAGAAAAGGGTTATGGGCACTTGTGCACTATGTTGTGTTTAGCTTCAATCAAAGGTAAAGCACAATATAAAATCTTACACTAGGTCAAATAGGGCCGCTGCTTTTGAATGTGAAGTTAGCATAACCGCGGTGTTTCCTTTACTGCTAGGTCACGGTAATTTTTGATTTTCGGCGTTCCTTATATCATGTTTGCATCATTTGATAAGTTTTCCACACTTTTGAAAACTCAAGTAGTAAAATAACAGCGTGCCAACAACGCTAAGTATGTTTCCGCTAGAAAATGTTTCCTGGATATTAGATTCATTTTTCGATTTGATACTCATGTGTTCGTATTAAAAACATGGTATTTTTTACTGGATTAGATAAGAAGCACAACTTCAGGTGCTCTAAT